AGGATGGGTTTTTTTTGTCATTTTGCAGAGAGAGAGGTTTCCCAACTAAAAAAAAAATCTTAAAAAATGGCAATTAAAAATTGGTGAAAGTTAATAATTAATGGCTTGTAGCTGGTTTATTAATAGCCTCATTTTTCTATGTAATGAAAATCTTAAACTGTCTTGTATTTTAACTATAAAGCAAAAAAAAAAAAGAGTAAAAAGTGGGATTGGTCCTAGTTTAAAATTATTTAAAACCTACAGAATTACAGAGTTTTATTCATAAAATGTTAAAGCTTGTTTTCAGAGTTCTGTTTTAGGCATTATTTCATATAATAAAATATGGAAGGAAAATTTGGGCTGGCAGAATTTTCAAAGCTTGTGTTAAAGCCCCTAACTGCTTCTGGTATGAAAGTCAGCTAAGCAGCCTTGTGTTGTTGTTTCCCCCAGGATATCTTTAATGCTTTCTTTTTTTTTTTTTAATTCCTTCCCTTTGGAAATCCAAGTGTTTATTTGCATGCAAGTTAGGTGAATTCTTTTATCTATTTGTGTATCATAAACCAAAGCAATTAGCATACTGCTGTTACAGTACACTTAAAAACCAAAACACCCCTACAAAAACCTTCAGTCAATATTATTCCTGGAGGGAGAACTCTTAATTAAATTGTATGCAAACTACAACAATAGGCAGAGTTGTTTGGTGTTTAATAATAACTCTGGGTCAGGGGGAAGAGTGAAAAAGTAAGTGTAGCAGAGAGCTTTGCATGCCATTAACCCAAGGATAGAAATGAGGTCAGCCTTTGAAGGGACAGACAACACGCTTATCTGCCAGCATTGGAAAGTCCCAAAAGATTAGGTTATTTGCCAGATGTTACTGGGAGTTCATCATTGACACCCTCTGCTTCGCGGGCTTCATCTCTCACCACAGTTGCAGTTGCCTTTTCTGCCCCTTGCAGGCTTCCTGGAGATCTTCTCCAGTGCAGAATGCATGTTTTTTTCCTTGAAGTAGGTTTTTTTTTGTTGTTTCATAGCAATAGGCATGGTGAACCATCTTAACATGTGAAGCTGATCTGAAGCCTCATTGTTTTTCTTTCATACACCCACGATAATCCTCTTGGCATAGGAACCATGGACGTGAAGCACAGTGACTGCCACAGCTCTGGGAATGGGGCTATGTTTGTGAAGAGATTTGTAGAAGACAGGCTACTCACCTCACTTAATATTGGTAACCTTTTGAAAATTAATGAGAATTGGGGCAGACTTTCTCATAGGCCAAGAATTTTCTGTTGTTTTCTTTCCCTTTGCCTGAAAAATAACTAAATGCAGTTCTAAGCAGACCATTATTATATTACTAGCAACTTTGTAAATAATCAAATATCACACTGAAGTGTATTTAAGTGTGTAATCCACTAAAATTTGGTAGTGAGGGAGAGTGGGTGCTGTCAGATCCATGTTAGTAATGACTGTATGAACCTGGAATGGCGTTCTCTGCATGCATCTTCTCCTTTAAATCTTTCAAGAGTTTGGTAGTAAATATTGATTTCAGCTAATGGTGGTTTTAACTTTGTGCACATGCTTTGCCCCAAGGGACTCTGTCACGTACAGGGAGAAGCCAAGTCTTGCTCATAAAGAACAGAGCAAATACGTTTTTCCTTTAAAATGCTGGATATTAGTGGTGGTCTCTCGAAGCAAGAGTCCTGCCACTTGTGTTACTGCAGTTGTTTTGCAGTTCTGCAGAACAATTTGGGAGATGGACAGTGACCTAAATAAGGACTATATTGTCACCATGTACATCTGGAGCATTATATTATACACTGTATTATCACAATGCATCCGGTAAAAGAAGCCTCAGTGTCAAAGCTTTTAAAATAGTGCAGAGTCCTTTTGTAGCACACCATTTAAAGCAATTGACGCTTTCAATCTGGCTCTGACATAGCCCATCCTTCCCTCCCTTTCCTCCCTCTATTCTCTTTCCTCCCTTTATTCCCTTTCCTCCTTTTCCTCCCTTTCCTCTTTCTTCCCTTTCCTCCCTTTATTCCCATTTCCTCCCTTCCTTTTTCTCCCTTCTGTCACTTCTTCCCCTTCCTTCTTCTGCTTTTCCCCATTTCCCCCCCTCTTTTCCTCCTCTTCCCCTCTCCTTTTTTTCCTTCATCCTTCCTTTCTTCCTTCCCTCCCTTTCAAGACCCTCATGTCTAACTTAATCTTCTGACATGAGCACTTCAGTTAAATGTCTGATGACACAGGACAATGACAGTATTTGTTCGTTATTTGTTCATGTTGAGATAAACTTGACATTCAGATGCTGCTTGACTATCCATGGACACTTGATGTTCTCCCTAACCTTTGTCAAGTCCACAGACACAGATACTGATTTTACTTCAGTAGGTTGAATTTCCAGCACAGGAAAGCAGAAATATTGCATGTAGGGAAAATGGAGAAGTGCTCTGTTGGTGTGTGAAAAGCTTTGTTTAATAGAGTCTTTTCCTTACCTTGGCACAGCCTGTGCTGCTGCCTGTTCTGTTAAGCCAACTTCAGTGCTGTCAATGAGGTTCCAGTCTGGGCTGTCATGTGGTTTCAGACTTGTGACCAGGGACAGCAGGTATTAGGGTGATTCTGCAAATGCCATCAGTGGGGGACAGTTGCAGAACTACAAGCCTGGGCCATTTCCAGGTTAGGCTGGCCCTGTTTGGCCAATCACAGAGTGCAAAATAACCACATATTCCTCAAAGTGTTTTTCCAGAGTTGAAGTAATAGCCATCTTGCCCTATAAAGATCTTATTTCTCCTATAGAATATTTCTATGCTGAGATAACTTTCATGAACTGTTTTCAAACGGGCTAGTTTTTTTTGGTTGTTTTTTTTTTTTTTGGTATTTTCATTTTAAAGTCACTTTTCACCTCTGTTCTCCTATTATTTCCATTTTTGTCTTCTGTGGCCTGTGCTTAGTAATTCCACAGCCATTTCTGTAAAACAGCAAATCCATTTGCACTATAGCAAGTGAATCCGTGATGGGTGTCCTTTACTGAAATGGGGAGTCCAAGGAATGTAACTTTTTAGACTCGTGCATTTCCACTAGACTAGAGAGACTGATCATCCAGTGCAGAGGACAAACTGTGCCCCCTACCACGTACTTGCATGGGTGATACACAGTGCTGGGCTCTCACACTGCTGCTACGTGGGAAGGCAGTAGGTCATCTGCTTTCTATTTTGAGTCTCTTTTTCAGAGGTATCCTTTTACTCCCCTCCTCTTCCTCAGCCCAGTCCTCAGTGGTTTGCAGTCCTTCCACTGTCTTTCTTTTTTCCATTTCCACTGGGGTCTTCTTGCCTCCACTTCCCTTGTGGTTCTTTCTCCCTGTATTTCCCCCCCTCCTTAATTCTGGAGTTTTCCAACATTCATTCTTATTCTATTTTGAAATATGCTATATTTGCCCCATATTATTTTAGTTATCCCCACTTATGCTCTTTCTTGAGAAGAAAGTAGCTCTGCATAAGCAAAGTTGGGAAGCAGCTATTTGGCTTTTTTTGATAACAGAAACAGTGAGTTTTAGTCGACAAATGCTGAGTTAGGGGACCAAACTTGGATGATTTGAAGGTAAATGCATGTACCTGTAAGAGACAGAAGGGACAAAACTTTAGGACTGCTGGGGAGCCTTCCCAGCACTGGGTTTTGTTCAGGCAGGCAATAAATAAACCGTGTGGCCATTTAGAAAGAACTAGGGTGTTCAGAAGCATGAAAAAAGAATCTTTTTGATACTCCTTTTGCAAATGATCCTGGAGGGTGCCAGTGGCTAGTGACTTCACAGATGCCACGCACGGGAAAAGGACCGAAGGAAGGCTGCTTGCCGTTGAGGCAATTCACACATCAACTGCTTTTTGAGAGCACTCGGCTCTGCCTGAAGATTTATGGGCCTCTCTTCTTTTAAAATAAATGAGTAAAGGACCAAGCTGAGTGTTTTTCCACACTTAAATGTCATAAATGCAATACCAAAAACTTCACTGGAGCACCAGCAAGGGCTCAAGCCCCAGCTCAAATGTGCATCGTATTAAAGTCCTTCTTGGGGACTCCAGACACAAATTGCTTTCCAACATCCAGAACCATTTGGAAATGCTTTAATCCTGAAACCAGGGGGTTTCTAATGGAAATGCTGACAGACCCTTCGTTGTAGCAGCTGAAGCAGGCAGGGCTGTGATAATGAGCCTGTATGCCTGCATGTGGAAAGCGTGATGCTAGCTCAGAAAACAAGCACTTCCACTGAAAAGCCCATGCTGAGAAAAACCACCGTGCACCGTTCCAGCACAATGCTGCTTCAAATTGGCTTTGCTCAAGCAAGTATGCATTGGGAACAACCATGGGCATTAACCCTGCGTGTATTACACTTCCAAAACCAACAAGTCTTAATAGCGTTTCTAATAACGCTCTAATTATCTATAAATAGCAGAGTATTGAATAGCCACGACTAGCAATTTAAAATGCTGCATACACACTGATGGGGTTCTTTGCTATTCACAAATGCAGTATGACCATGTCTCCTCTCACTTTTTAAACATTGTGCCCGTGACCCTAAAAAACAGGTGATGCTTCATTTGGTGCTCATGTCTCTGCATAGCTCTGTTAGCGCTGGAGACCGTGTGCTGTGTACCTGTATTTGGAAATCTCAGTGACCTTGGTCACAGCAGCCTGAAGAAACCTGTCTTGCAAGCATGAACCCAGGTGATTAATTTCAACAAACAGGTTGCTTATAAGAGTGTAATTACTCACTTATGCAAGTGGCAGGATGGGTGCACTGACCTGCATTAGACACATTGTAGTGTACACCTTCCCATCGGTTCTTTTTCCTCTGTTAATCAGAGGCCTGAAAACCCTGCAACATTTAGACAGCTTGAGGTTGAAGGCTGAAATGTCACTTTTAAAAGAGGGTTAAAAAGGTCACGCAGCTGCAAATAATAATAGCCCAATGAAAATCAGATTCTTACTGCAGCCTACTTCAAGAATAACATTGAAACAGGAAACAAGCCTGCTTGATGTTTTTACCAGTATGGCAGTAAGATTACTGCTGAGTTTAAAAAGAGGGAGAGAGAGACAGAAAGGAGCATGCTTTCTTGATCTTAGATATGAGAAAAGTTTTTCTGGTCAGAAAAGGTGATCCTGGGGCTCTGCAAAATCTCCTTGAGGAGCCTGAGGACATGGGGTACTTCCCTCTGCCTGATGCTGAGAGGAGATGTAGTTTGTTGCTGTGTTCTGAGAGTGGTTTAGTTTCTTCTGTTTGCTTTTTTTTTCTTTGTTATGTTCTTGCATTCCTCACTGTGGGCTTCGGTTTTATTAATTATAATAAAAACTTTTTAGAAGACTCATGCAAAAATCAAGAAAAAAAATCTTGGCTTGCTGCAGAACTTATTTGTTTCTCTACCATGTGCCATAGGTTGGAGAAGCCTTTCTCTTGTATTTTTATTTATTTCTTTTTATAATTAGAGTACCTTAACTTCTCCTGAGCAAAGTGATATTTCAGGAGAATGGCAGGCTACAACAGCATAGCAGATTTCCTCACTTACACATTCTGCCAATAAGGCTCTTTACATGGTCACAATAGGGCAATAAATGCTGACAGATGTTGTTAACATGTCTATTAAAATTCAGCCCCCTTTTCTGCTGGATTATACACTCATGGCTATTGTTAATAATATCAGAACTAATGCTGACATATCGATAATAGTGTTCGCTTTTATTTATAATCCTTGACTGTTGCTTCAAAAAAGTCACAAAGTTGCAATAAATTAAGCTATTGATAACAGAAGCAAAAAATTCAGACTGGAGCAATTTTTAAACTTTACAGTCATCATAGATTTGTCTGATATTCTTCATGTGCATTAATTGCAGTGGTTATTAGTAGTACTACAAGAGTTGCATGAGTGTAACTTGAATTTTTAAGATCCCAAAGGCTAATAAGCACCTTAATTTAGATGGAAAGGCTGCTGTGATATATTTTTATTAGGTGAAGTGGAAATGTTGCCATTGGTTGTGTTATTTCCTTCCTTCACCTGCACACAGTGTGGAAAAAGAAGACGTGGATTGTGTGGCCCAGGAACACACGTGAGACACGTGAGGAGAAGTGTGTGCCAGAGGCTGTGTGCAGCTGTCTGGGCTGAAGGATGGGAGATGCCTGTCTGCATCCAGAGAAGGGTGCCATGCAAGCTGTGCTGTGCACAGCCAGAGCAGCTCTGCTGCTGAGAGCCCCCATCCTGTGCAAACCTGGGCTGAGGAACGGTGGTGCCGGTGCGTCCGCGGCTTTTGCAGAGTTTAGTGGGATTGAAGAGGTTCATGCAGGAGGTTCAACTCGCAGCCCAGAATTTCAGCTGCTTGTTTCTGGTCAACATTCAAGCACAATGCTGAAATTACTGCCATATGATAACCAAGCACCAGACATTTGCAAAAAGTGTAGGCAGCAGGCAGCTTCTTCCACTCATTTACTGTTGTAAGAGAGTCAGTGGCACCACAGCCTCAACTGCAGTGATTGCACCACATGCAAACACCAATTCTGCATGGTGCAATTTGTCTTGAGGGCACTGTACCACTTGGTAACACGTTGTACAGGCCAAGTTCTGCTAGACAGCACTTGGAGTGCCGGTGATGCAGCCATTCTGGATTATTGCTCCTTTTATGTTTTGTGTCTGCAAAGAGTGATTCTCATGGAAATAAGCAGTTGCTTAAACATTTGGGAAAAACAATTTGGTGTTGAATCTGATGCCTTTTCCAGGTACTCAGAGTAAACAACAAGTCCATGACTTCTTATAGTTGATTTCCTGGGGCTGATCCCTGCACTCAGGATTCTAGTCCTCATCTAGTGTGTTATTCTGCTGCTTAGTATATGCATATCTACTAGATAACCTTGAGAATAATTTAATTGTTATAAGAGCATGCACTGATGGATTCAGGGACTAAAGGTCAAAGTCAGGGTGGGGAGGGAAGTCTTAGACTTGCAATACTCAATAAGAAATCAAACTCCAAATAATTCCTGGTAATGTTTTGAAATTCACATGGACGCTTGGGACCAGAATTGTAACTATCTTGTTTTCTTAAACTGAGTCTCATCTGTTGTTTTGCTATTGAAAATGCTGTTGTCACTGTCCCCTGAGGAGGGGAAAAAGGGGGTAACAGAAATCTCTGGCAGTGCTTCAGTTGCAGGAGCAATTGAGATATTAAATAAAGCCTTTCATTATCCATGTGTAGCTTCCTTTTTTTTCTTTTCTTTCTGTGTAAAGGAAAAAGTTGTCTTTAGGAAAGACAACATGCCTGGGGTCACATCCCATAAATAGAGGTGGATTTAAAAATCTAACTTAGCTGGAGGTTCTGGTTTTGTTTTTTGCGGGGGTTTGTTTTTCTAGTCAGTTATCTCTCTGCTGCTTGTTTCTTTCAGACAGGATAGTGTAATTCAGAGTATTTTTATGGGTTCATCTCTGAAGAGCTTGTCTATGCACAGTCTGGAACTGAAATAACTGAAATTAGAAGTAATTTAACACCTTAAGTTATTTTAGTACGCGAATATACTCTTTCACTTCTGATTATGAGTATCCTATTTCAGTTTAACATAGCTGTAAGTTAAATCAAAACAGGATATGAATAATCTTAAAGGAGTAAATTAGGTACAATTTTAGTTATTTCAGTTCTAGCCTTGTGTGGATACATAAGTTATGCCTGAGTTAGGGTCTTTCTTGACACTTTATTGTATCATAAATAATTTGTCTCAGACCAGATGTTGGTAGAGTTGCCCATATCAGGAAGATCATTTGATGCTTATTATCAACTTTTGGGAGAAGTGTCCTTGGGGAGGTTGAAGGGTAAATGAAAGTAGAAATCCTTCACTTCTGGATTCTGCTTCTAGGAGTCAGTAGAGTCAGACAGAGCGGAGTTTTTTATGTCACAATTAGGAAAATATACTGTCAGGCTAATGTCCACCAGAAAGAAGTTTAATTAAAAAGAAAACGTTATCATCCAGTGAAAATAATTGCTGCAAGTATGGGTCTGTCTGATGTACAGGTTAATGGTGAATTGTTCTCTCAACTGTAAGCATGCTAAAGATACTCCTGATGACAGGAAAAATGAACTGTAGCTTGAAAAAAATTCATTGGGTTTGAGCAATTTTACCACCTGTCCCTCTGCAGGTTTTTGCAGTCATAAAATCAAATTCTGCTTCTCCACCAAGATATTTCTCTTTGGGTCATGAAAAAAATATCCAAATATCACACAAATATTTTTCTAAAAGCGGCTGTGGTGAGGTTGTTTTAAGGGGTTTCAGGGAATCTCTAAACAAAAGTAATCTACTTTCTGATGGTTCAGCCACTACATTCTAGCTGGTAAAAACAGTTGTTCCAACAGGCTGAAAACATTTCCCAAATAAATGACTTACTTATTTTACTCCCTAGAATTTTGCTAAAATTTAATTTTTTTTTGCTCAGGGACACTGCTCTAGCATTGACTCAAATTCAGGTGCATAACTTCATTCACACTTTGCCTTTATTTAAGACTTGGGAGCTTTCCCCCAGGGTTTAGTTCAAGGTTACAGGACTGGAACTGCTACGTGGAAGTGCAGTTTGAGACAAAACTTCACTGCTGAAGCTCCTGAGGCTCTTTTAACAGTTGACCTTTTAAAGGATGGGGATGCACAGTTACCTTGTGTGCATGGAGAGCATGGATGTAATGTATTTAGGTTATTAATATCAGACAGTATGGATGCAGAACTTCAAAAAGTGGGCTCTTTCTCAGAAGTAACCTAGACGTCTGGTTTTAATGTTGTTCAGCAGGAACTGAAGGAGGAAAGGTAAAAACCTTTAATTCAAGGTATTTCTGAGAAGACACGGTCTTATCTAATAACAACACTGAACATATGCTATTTTTTGAGGCAGATTTATGCTGTGAAAGCTGAACTTTATTTCTTTCTTAACAGTAAATTGATGCTCAGGAAGGAGCAATAAGAACTTGGACTCTAGAGAGCCTGCTGAATATTAGCAAAATTAGTACTCTGAGTGTGAAAACTTTGTTCTGATGTGTTTGTGGAGTTTGAAATAAAAGCACAAACTGCCATTTCTGTATGTTGCATGCATGTGTGAAGTTTAGAACGTATATATTCATAGGTTCCCTTTCTTTCCCCCTTCCCCTTTTAACATGTAGATTTATGAGGAATCAAAGATGAACTTGGAGCAGGAGAGGCCTTTTGTCTGCAGTGCCCCAGGCTGCTCACAGGTGAGTGGAGTCAGCGGTGATATTAATTGAGTCCTCAGCACTAGCTCTGGCTTGTATAATGCCTCCTGATATATTAACACATGTCTAATAATAATATGTGTGTCAGGGGTTTTTCGTGTGGGTTTTTTTTTAAGACCTGCTTCCCCTCAATTCTCTCCTTTCCCACAAGACACTATTGTGAAATATTTCAAGCAAATACAGCAGCCAGTCAAAAGTGAGATGGTACAAGTGCTCCTCAAGCTGCTTCTCTGACTTTTCTCATCCCAAAGCCTCATGTTTCAAGACATGTATTGCAGATTCCTTTAGGGACTATCAAGAGAGAACATGTTAGGCAGGACACATTTATCTGTCTTCTGCTGAGATGTGTGATGGAATATACTATGTTGCTATTAGAAAGCCCTAACCCTCCTGCGGTTTTCTTTCTATTTTAAATACTTAAATACAATAATATCTTATTAGCTGATTTTTATTTATTTATTTATTTATTTATTTATTTTTAGCTTTTAAGACATCTTCCTACTAAATATTTTCTGTGGAAAATGCAGCCTGTAGATAAATTTTTCCCCAGGGTGTGCATTTGGGATTCCTGTCCTTTTGACTGGTGCTCTGCCATGTGTCTCCAAGGGCAAAACCTGACTTGTAACATTAGATGTTTAATGAGCTTAAAAAAATCCCTGAAGTGACAAGGATTTACCTGCTGAGATTTGAACTGGGGTGTGTTTGGTTTTTTCAGTGATTTTGCAGTGGTGAGGGAAGTTGCCCCACATGCAGTGATGAGGAAAGTTCCATGTGTGGCACTTCTTACCCTAATTTGTTTTAGTAACAAGAGTTTGTGAGTAAAATCTTTAGACAAGGTCATCTTTTGGGCTTTTGCCATGGGCTTCCTGTGTGCATCCATGACACATGATACAGCTTACCCATTTTCCATGGTCCTCCTCTCTTGATTAGTGAACCTTTCCCTGTTTCAGCTGTGTGTTGGGAGTTTTCAGCTGGGTAAGATATTTACAACTCTTCAGGTTCTTCTGGAAGAGGGGTGGGTGACTGTTAATGAAGTGTAGGTGTTGATTTTGCCAAGAGCTGAAATAAGGAGAGGCAGAAGCCTTCAGTCCACTTAACAACTGGCTGAGTGGCTTTGCTGTTTCACTAAGTGGGAGTTTTTCCATGGGAGGCAGAGTGCATCTTTTGGGTTATCCTTCAGGCTGAGAATATGCTCCTTTAGATTTCCACATGCAGAGTTAAACTTTCACCATTCTGTCACAGAGGTAGAATAAAAGTATCTGAGTTTAATTGTGATGTTTATTTGCCTTTTTGATGAAACTAAATTCCACTGAAATTAGTGGACTTGAGTGTTTTCTTGTCAACTCTTAATTAGTTTCCTCAGTGGAGGAGAAGCTGATCCAGACAAGCTCTTTTAGGTGTTCAGAGAGCAACTTTGGTTCCATGCTGCTACAATTTGGAAAGATGAACAATGTAGATGTAAATTCCATCTTAAAAAACATTTAACTTCCCATTCCCCAACATGACTCCTGTTTGAAATAAATGAGGACTCGACACAAGTGCATAATGCAGAGCTGCTGTCCAGCTAAGCTGGCTGGGGCTTCTCTCTTGGCCCCTGCAGATGTGTGCTGAGGCTCATGGAGTCAACCTTCTGCACGAGGAAGAAAGTAGATTTAGAGAAAAGACAGAGAAGTCTGGGCTGGAGGAACAGTTTCTCCTCTCTTGCCTCACACCCTGTTTAAGCTGGCTGATTTCATCATTAAGAGAGACTGTGGCATCCATGAAGGAAAATCCATTTTCAGGAGAAATAAATGTGGGGTTTTTTTCACCCCCTTCATGATTTCATTGAGCAAAGTCTTTCTCAGATATTCCCCTTGTTCTTAACATAAATTCCCAACGCTGCATTTCTTCCAGATGAGTAAGCAGTGAACCAGGATTTCACAGTGAGAAAAAGGTCTTTGCTTTGTGATTTCTCTCTTTTCCATTTTTTTTCCCTTTTTTTCCCCCAGAGAATTCAATTCCATTATTTATGCTGCTTTGTCTATGGGTTGAGAGAGATTCTCAGAAGGTGTAACATATGGCAAATATTTATGCTTTAGCCACAAGCAAAGTCACTTAGGCAAGAGTATACTGTGTTGAAACCATTAGGTCCCTTTAGCTCTTTTGTTGCCATTGTTTTTTGTCTCCTATGTACCTGTTGCTTTAAAGAGCTGCTTTTAATTTATTTTTTTTTCCTCAAGCCTTGGTGATACTACTTTTGGCTTTTGGTAGTCCTGAAATAACCCAGTTGAAACCTCTCAGTAGCAAAGTTCTGTGTATGCACATTCTGGTGAAGGAAACTTCACAGAACCATTCTGCTGTTTGAGCCCAAATATGCAAGTGCTTGAGAGTTTATTGAAGCTTGTCTCTTCTTTGTTTTGTTCCAAAGAACTTATTTCTTGTATGAGACTGTAATCAGATTGTGGAACAAACTTAGCACACTGATTAGTTTCTTACAAAAAAAATCTCTCCACCTTCTCTGCTTGACAAAGGAGAATAATTTGATTTAGTATCATAAAGGGTCATAACTAGCTGCTATAAAACTGTGCACCATTTAATTGCCACTTCAAATCAAGTCAAAGTATCAGATATTTTCAAAATTAAAGACGTGTTTTGCCTGAATACTTTTGGATAGAAAAAAACCTGGCTTATTTAGTTATTTTTATAGCTGTTCATCAGATATATGTTGCAGAAAGACACAAAAGCAGAAAAATCCAGTAAAGTGATTTAAGATTTGCCTCATTACTTAGCATTTGCCGTGGGCTAAGAGCATACAGAACAGCAGCTATTGCAGATGCTCAGGCACGTGGTGACTTGTGAGGCTGTGGTAGCTGCAGTGGGTGTCTGAGACCCTTAGAATCCAAAACTTGGACTGTAATTTTTTCCAAGCAGTTGCACGACACCTTACAGTTTGTCACCCCAGAGAGCACGGCAGCAAATGTGTTTCTAAGTCAAGTACAGCTATTTGTAACTCATATTCACTTGTATTTTCAAATATTCTGTTTCCTGTGCCATTTGGACACATTTCTAGCTGGATAAATTTCTTTCTGTCTCTCATTTTTGAAATTCTGTCCAATGCCAAAAGTTTATTAGAGAATTAAATTCTTCTTTTTTTTCTTTTTTTTTCTCTCTTCCTCTCTCTCTTTCTGTGTTTGCCTGACAGCGTTTTCCAACAGAGGATCATCTGATGATTCACAGGCACAAACATGAAATGACTTTGAAGTTTCCTTCAATAAAAACAGATAATATGTTATCAGGTAAGAAGACATGAATTCAAGAGTCGAGATAACTATTCAGATGATGTTGAAAGCATGACTCCTATTGGAAAGCTACTGGCAAAATGACTCCAAGATTGGTTTTAAAAAGCCCCAGCTCCAATTAAATAACAAGGAGAGGTAGATTGAGCTAGAATGCATATATTTGAATAAAAAGACAGTTGCCATTCTTCTGCCTTCATACAAGTTTGTCATGAGAGGGAAAGAAATCGCTGAACCTCAGGCATGCTGGCAGCTCTGTCATTGATTTCCAGTGAAATACAGGCACTTAAGTGTGTGGCACGTGGGAGCCCAGCAGTGAGAGTGTTAATGAAGTGCATTTGTGCTGTTGCTGGAGGAATTGCTGTTTAGGCTGGACAGACTCCCTTCAGCACCTGGAAGAGGCCACATTGTGTGAGCCACCTGTGTGGTGACTCAGGAAGTGCCCCCTGTAAATAGCCATAACCAGAGAGGTGAACAAGTGGGTGATATCCAGTGCTCTTTCCCCATCTCTCTCTGCACTTCCCCCTTCATAAACAGGGTTATTTGGTATAAGGTACAATTGCACCCTATAATTTCTTGAGTAGTGTATTTCTTATGTAGTCTTTCTGTTCTCTTCTCTGTGTAACCACATATCAATGTCTTGCTGGCCTTCAGCCAGTGTTGGGTAAAGTGAAGCTGGCCCTTCATTTTACTTCTTTCCTCTCCTAGTCCCTTTCCTATTGTTTGTTCTTTGGGCTGTAGTAGTGGACTATTTAGAATAGTATCTCTAGACTTTTTCAGGTTTCAAAGTAATGGTAGAAAACCCCCTCTGTGATGCAAATATGTGCGTGGATGTTCAGCAGTGTTTGATATTTGTCTTTTGCAATGGGCTTCTTCAAGATAAATTGTGCCATTTCAAATGCAAATGTATATTTATTAAGGGGACTCCAGCAGACTAACTATTTTCTGGTTAAACTGTTTCCATTTTTATGAAAATCATAATGAAGTAACAATGGCTTGCAAATATTTAGGTCTTTTTTTTGTTTGGTTTTTTTTTTTTTTGTTGGGACTTTGGGCACCAATGAAAAGTTAAACAGCCTTTTTCCCAAAAAGAATTAATTTTGCTTTTCATTTTAAAATCCCATAGAGGACTAAGTTTAGAAAGAAACAGTACACCGCATTTTGAAGACTAGGTCTTGTAAAGTGCCTGAGTGCCAGCTATGCCAACAGAATCCTGTGTTTGCAAGCACAAATGAGGAAAAGCTGCTTTTGCATTTGGCTGTGTCTTTTGGCAGTGAAACTGCTCGAAGACATCTGTGCTGTGGGCACATTCACCCTGTGCAAGTGCTGGCTCTTGTTAAAACTTTCTGTTTGGCAAGACTTTTGTTCGAGTGCAGTTTCTAAGGAACCTATTCTGTCATCAGGAATCCCCTGAGCAGAGTAGCTCCATTTGTGTTTGGTAACTCCTGTGATTTAGCCATCCCGCTCCTTGCAATGGGTTCCTAAGCAAAAACAATGTCTGTCTTCCAGCACCACCACTGGTACTGGGCCCCCTAAACCTGCAGTTAGCCAGCTGTACATACTAATGTGGAATTTTCTGGCCAGAAAGACTCCGAGATTGCTTCTAAGGGATGTATTCTTTGAGGTTTGTTTATGATGATCCTGTGTAGTAGTGAAAGGGTAAAAAGACACACGTGTTCCCAAAGACTGTGGCCAATGTTCCTGACCATAATGCCCTGGCAAATTGGTTCTGCTGGTTTATTGATTCCTCTTTTTTTGTTTGTTTGCTGAATTTGTTTGGCATTTTGCAGTCCTTACTCAGGAAGCATCATAGATCATCTACTCTCTGCAGGAAGACATTGAAAAATAGTTGTTTCATTACCCACTGAAACCCTGGGGAAATCTAAATACCTTAAACTTTAAGATGTTTTATTCTTAGATTTCAGAATGAAAAATTAATGATAAATGGGGAAAAGAGACATACTTTTTTCTTAGACATTTGTCTTCATGTCTTCCTTGTTTTTGCATTTTTGCTTATGTGACTTTTTTAAAAAAAATGTTCCTGTCATCAGTAGGTTCAAAGAATTGCAGCAGCAATTGCCCTGTAACAAGCCAGGTGCAGTGTTAGTTTTCCCCCCTCCTCTTTCTCCTAAGCTGCCTAGAAGTCAGACTTCCTATTTTTTTTTCCTGTATGTTGTATACTATATTTTAATTTGTTGTGTATTATCCATTTATTATTAATAATTAGTCATGAAAAATAACACATTGTATGCTTTCAGTAGACATTAGAATTATTTACCCTGTTTACAGAGGTAGCTTAATCCACAGTCTGGGTTCACTATAATATCAGTAATATTTAACACACATTAAACATGTTTTCTATAAACTGTTCCTGCAAGTAGGCACTGAAACTGTTGGTTTTGTAAAAGACATCTTAGAAACTAAGCAAAATATGACTTGGGAAGAAGAAACTTGTTTTTTGTGTGAAATCTGTGTTTGGATCTGAAATATAAGCTTCTAAGGGAGAGGTAAAATTATGCTATATGTGAAGTTATATGTTGTTATGTAGGTGGGGTCAGTGTCTAATAAACAATGGTGCATGACCTGATTGCAGCAATTGGTGCCGTGCTGGTTTATCAGGTATGCCTTTCCAGAGCTTCCAAACTATCAACTAGCTTCACTATGTTTTCTGCCATTGTTTTCATGCTGGCTTAAGAAGAACAAGTTGTATTAAATCTGTTCAACCAATCTCTTGAACCAATTCAGAAACTCCAGATACCCATGTACACCAAACTGCTTTCTGTTCTCTGACTGTATAAATGTAAGGAAAATCCACTAGAGTCATTGCACTAAAATGCAAGTGATAGTTTTGTTGCACAACTTGACAACGCAATTCGGTCTTTTAGAATTAATTTGTTCCTCTTTGTTGTATGTATTTTATTTTTGTTTGTTAGAAAGTCTTGTTAAGAATATGGATAGGGAGTAATTGGTGTTTTCCATTTCCATCTTTCCAGCTAAAAAAGAGCTGTTTGAGATAACACAGGATATCTTATGTAAGTTTTGCATGCTAGTCACCACTGCAGGCAACTTTATAGTTAAATTGACTGAAATAGATATCAGCTCTTTGCTGTTGTAGGGAGTCAACAGTGTTTGCATTGCTTTGAAACTCTACATTGTGTTGTGTGACAAAGCTTTTGTGTTTAAACACCAAAATATTAATGTCTGTAGAATAGATTGCTTCCTCCAGGGAAATAATAAAATCCCTGTAGGACTGAACTTTGGGAGCTGGGGATTATCTACATAGAAACCTTTTTTCCTTCCTCATTCTATTTAATGAAACCAAATCCTCTAGAGTTTCGGTGATAAAGCCTGCTGTGGAGGTAGAAACAGTTTTCTCTAGATGGAAGAAGTGCCTGTGATAAAGGTAGCGCAAAGGTATTCCTTTTCCCAAGTAATGCCTGTGCCAGTGAGGTAATTTACATCACTCTTGGTTGCCTTAATTTTTCCCTCCTTGTAGTTTACACAGAGAGGTTTATCTAGGCATGAATTTTGAGGTGTGCAAAATGATTGGGTATGAGGATTCATAGTGTAGTTTGTTTTCTTGTTTGCTTCTGTGCCCCTTGCTTTATCAAAAATGAAATGAAACATTTTCTTACATTTACTGGTCAGTTTCAGAGTGACCAGAAGACTTTAAAAATTGGTTGTACCCAATATGTTCATCCCTCCAGGAAAGTTCAAGCAGTGCTTTAAAGAGTACATATTTAGGCAGTACATTTCTTGGTAGCCCTCATCTGGGTGGGAGCAGTTTCACCACCTATGTTTGGGTGCACTTCTTCTTCCTCTCCTCTTTCTCCACCTGGTTGTTGTGTTATGATGTTGAACTCCTCAGTGCACTTGGGTGGAAACCTGTGAGATCAATGAAGAAACCTTTCTGAACTTCTCAGGACATTCCTCTGTCTTTGTGGCTGCTTGATGGGCAGCCCTTCAAATTTCTGTGCTAGCCCCCTTACTCTGACTTTGTTATCCTTGTATGAAAGCACAACACGGGTAAGTGTATAACTTCAACAGAGCCCACAGCTGAACAAGCCAAGTGTCTATTATTATTGCACATCAGACTAAACAATTTTTTTTTTGAAAGAAAAATGAAGAATCAAGTTACACACTTTGCAGCTTGGCTGTTAAGTATCTTTCAACAAATGAGAATTAATTTTTTTTTCTTCTCAAAATGAAAGCTTGTTTCAAATAAGTGTCCTTTGGTTCTCCAGGGCTTTTTTAAACTGGTAGCATGCTTTAAAGTTTCCTTTTGTGTTTTGAGGGATGAAACTCAGGAATTCAAGGTAATTTTACAAAACACATTCTGGATGAATCAAGCAAGTTTATGTATAGCAAGCTAATGCTGTACTTCCTTATCTGTTGTTTTGAAAACAATGTATTGGGACTGAGTGTCCTTTCTATTATTTCAATCCCCACTCCCCTAAATGAACAACAACAAAGAAACCCCCATCTATTGCCAAACGTTGTGAGTAAATAATGGAAACTTTTGACTTTTTTGAAGACTTCAAGTTCCCCACTGTCTTACCACACATATCTTTTTTATGAGTCTGAAAAATCAGGTATCACTTCAGACATTGAGGACAGGTATTCAAAAGTCAGCAACCAAAATATACACAGTATGTGAAAGTCTGGCCTGAATGTGATTGCTGAATGCATCTGAAATCCCTTTCTGTAAGATATAGTAGGTTAACTTGGGATCATTTGGGCTTGCTCTGGGGCTTATATATTGTCCATTTACTTTTTAGAGGCTTTTTTAAACTTGACATTTTTTGCAGCCTTCCTGGTCATGGCTGTGTCATCAGAGAGGCTGATTATTCCCCTGAGTAACAGGCTGAACAATATTTTGATTGCCTAGTCTGAATCTGTGTTTAGGCTGTTGATGAATTTGAGATAGAAAAAAGTTCCTAAACAGTTATCAGATGACAGGTTTACCTATGAAGTGACAGATGGCTAGAGGTAGATGCCTCAAAGGACAGTAAACTAGTTCTAGAGGATGGAACTAGTTGAGGATGGAAATGTTTTTACCCGTTGAATGTTGGGATAGCTGATCAGTACCTTGGGTTAACCCAGATAATCCTGTATCCCAAGCTGCCAATACAAAATACAGTTTGTGACTGATATAGGAGCCCTGGGTGTGTGAGCAGCAGTGTGCCTGCAGAGCAGCTTCCTGCATAACGTGTGTCCTCAGCAGGAATGCTGAGAGTGGTGCTGGCTCTGTCTGAGTTTTGGTCCAGATGGGTCTGGCTCATTTGTTGCTGAAGTGCAACAAATCGGGGCCCTGTTCTCAGTGAGTCTGCAATAGTTGTGGGCGCTGGTGATAGCAACAAAAGCTTTGTTTGTACCAACAGGGAACAATGAGGTCAGGCACAAGCTGTTGGAACTATTAATGCATTTTTAAGTGCTGAGAATTAGGAATATTTTATTAATTCTGGGAGACCTGATTTTGTAGCTTATGCGAGGGTGTCCCTTGTGATACTCCTCCCAATTAAAACATAAAGGATTGCCTAATCTAGGTAAAAGAATTTCTGTGGTGTTGAGAGTGATTTCTTCTACTAATTTGCCCACTTCCTAAAGGAGAACTGGTGTTTAGCAGAGAGAAAATAGTTGGTTGCTCAGGAGCAAATCCATCTCATAAGACTTTGGATCCTTGAAATCCAATGACTGCAGTGTATGTGCAGTGTAACTACTTTACTACACAAAATCTCAACATTTTAAAGTCTGGATCTGTATCAGTTCTGCCCTCACAAAAACAGAGGTTTTGTGGCCTTCTGGTTCCTGTGAATGTTGGAGGCTGAAGTACTAGAACTAGGAAGGCAGGTCTTGTTTTACATCTGGCTGAGCTGACTCCCAGGAAGTCTGTGGATGGAACTTAGGCTGGCTGGTTGGTGGTGCTTCCTCACTTGGGAGATATGAGGGGCTGTCTGTTTTAACAAAAATCTTGATGTGAATTGCTGCCAGTCTGATTTCTGGAACATAGCAACTACACTAGCACTATGGGGAGACTGAGGTAATAAAATAAGATCACCATCTCAATATGTAGGTGGTGTAAACAGTGTCATTATCAGTTTTGATCTTTTGAGATAATTAAACAGTTAATTGGAAAGTTCAATTGTAGGTAACAACATTGGTTATCTTGTGGTGCAGAAGACAGATTTTCAGCATGAGTGGAGAAAGGAAGCCATTGAGGCCCTTGTGCATTTGAAGTTACATTCTTGCTCTGGCTTGCTTTTTTTCACTGTTAAAATGGATTTACTTCAATGTGATACCTTTTTTTTTCTTTTGGTCCATTCTGGGCCCAAGCAACTCTGAAGAAACCCAGAATTTTTGATTCTAGTGAAAGTAGTGGCATCTGCTTCTTTATGAAATCATAGTTTCTCATTTTGGCCATGAAATTGATACCTTGCTTATTTGATATGGATATATCACTTCTAACAATAAAACATTTCCTCCGTTTACCTCACATTCAGATACTAATGTGCCCTTTGTGTCCAGGAAGGCTTAGTGACAATTGTCCTTGATTTTCTACAAAAGAATGGTGTTGTTCACTAAAGTAGCATTTAATCCTTTTTGGAAATGAAATCTATTTCTCCTGCATTTTAGTGCCATTCATTTCCAGTATGAGCTCCAGTCCAAGGGCCAAAAACAACCCTGGTGTAAATCTACTGAGTTTACTGAGGTTACTTCAGAGATTTGTTTGGCACTGCTTATTTAGGATATGGACCTGTAAAGGGCTGAGTGTCCTCAGCTCCCATCAATGCCAGCACCTTGTTGGCTCATCTCCTTGTGCTGAGTTCTTGCAGGATTCTTAGAAAGTTTTGTTTCTAACTCTGGTAATACAGTAGTAAGCTGTGAAAGGTAATAGATAAATAAGTGTGCATTCCCAAATACTTGAAGTTTGTTTCCTTTATGTTCAGAAGTAGGATGCTCAAGCCAAAAAAAATGAAAAAAGAATTTTAACATTAAGGACTTGCATTCTGATGTTCCATCAGAAATATGAATGCAAATGAGTGTCTTTGCCCTTGGATTACCTGAGAAAGTCAAACCTGGAGGACCATGCTTGATACAGGTGGAGATGGCCTTCTCCTGGCTTTATAATGGAGGAGGCTGATCCTCTCCCTCAGTTTCTAAGTGAAAACTGCATTTTCTTTTGTGTACCTTGCTTTTGTACTGCTTCATTTTTAAGGGCTGATGTGCATTTCTATCCTGATCATGTAAAATTCATGGTGTTAAGTAACTGTTTGCTGTAAGGGGGTAATATTAGAACTTGACCCAGCTTAGCTAGGTGCAAGAAAGCAATTTTTTCTTTGTTGAAGTGGGAAGCTTTTTTCTGAGATCAGTATTGACCCAATATGGGCAACGGGGTTTAGTATGACAGAGTTTTCATTTTTTAAAGAATGAAATGCAAACAATAGGTAGTATTCAAGGACTATGCCGAAGATTATTTTTAACAAAGTGAGTCCAATCTTTCTGTGAAATCAGGTACAAAGCATCTCGAGCTGGGACAGAGCCTTGGGAGAAGGAGCCAAGGTGGAATAATTAAGAACTAGACTCAGAATGGGTAGAGGTGCCTCAGACCTGTGCTACGGGGAGTCTTTGGTTCCCAAATTTGGGCTTGATTTTTCATTTCCTGGAGAAAGAAACTGAAGTCACTGAAACTACAGTCTGTATGGCAATTTTGCTTGTCTGTCTTGCAGGTTTTTGAAAAGGTATTAGAAAACCTTGTAATTTCTCCAGTCCCTCCTGCCTGTGGCATTAATGAGAATCCTTAATGTATTGATTCTGAGAGGGCAGAAAAATCCTAGAGATGAAGGCATTGAATTTTTTTTACTCCGAATTTAATGGTCTTGCATGTATTATCAACACTTTCAGGTATAAAATGCAAAAGGATGCTTCTTCATGGCCAGAATGTCACTTTTCATAGCTTTTCCATATGTTATTTAACTCTTCCTTCAAAAATTGTGCTGGAAACAAAACTTCTTGCCATGGCTGCCTTTTTTTGCTAAGTATGTGTATGTTTGAGGTGGTTTTTGAGCACTTGAAAGCATTAACTAGTGTGTATCCACAGCAGTTATCATGCATGCTGTAGTCTGAATGTGCATTATGAGATGCACCGTGCGTTGTTCTGCATGAGCCTATTTTTGGAGGTTCAGAGAGAGTTGTAATGACCATTTGCACACGTTAAGGAGATGCACTTGTGTTATGTGCCCTGGGAAAACCCATGCTGTTGTCTTTTTGCCCAAACGACGACTGCTGCCTGGTCGTGGACGTTGATGGCAAGCATGGCTGCCTGCAGCGTTTAATGTTGAAATTCAGCCCTGTGTGGGTTTTTTTAATGATGATGTGCTAGGTAGGGTTGGGAAGGCAAAGAGAAGCTTGGTTAGAACCTCTCTTTTCCTGGAAGACTATTTAATTGTCTCCCTCTCCTTTTAATATTGAGCACCAACGATCATTTCTTGTCCTGTTCTCAGATCAGACTCCCACACCAACGCGCTTTCTGAAGAACTGCGAGGAAGTCGGCCTCTTCAACGACATCGACTGCTCCCTGGAGCACGAGTTCAGGAAGGCACAAGAAGAAGAGAACAACAAAAGGGTGAGTGTGAGCACACCAAGCCCTTCCTCCCCTTTTGATTCCTTGAAATGGCAAAGGAAGTGTCCTTTAATCTGTGAGAAAGCAGACTGAGCTCTACTACCTAGTAGCAACCTTTTGGTTAGAAACTAGGTGGCACTATAAATTGTGACATGCTTTTTAAAACTATTGAAGCAGTTGACAGAAATAAAAACCCCAAACCAACAAAAAACTAGTATTAAATAATGAAAGAAAAAGTGTTACTGTGTTTGCCAGGGTTTGATTCCAAGTCTCTGCTTTTAAGTAAACTATAACACAAACCACACACCTCTTGAGGGAGAGGCTTGGGAAAATTATATCATCTTTGAAGTGAGGATTGCAAACTGGCTCAAATATGTTACAGGGAAATTTGGCTTATGAAGGGGCATTTACTTAAGAGAAAAATCTTTTCTTTTTCTTATTTTTTTAAATTCCTCCATAACAGGGTGCTGATTTATTCATCATCAATACCAGCTTTATTGTGTTTCTGTATTTCTCATAAAGCATTCAAGTTGAGCTGAGAAACTTTGACTTGAAACATCTAGTAGATAACATAACCCATTTTCAATTAGTATTCTTTTAGTTTATTCTGAAGTTATTCTGTCAGTATTTTGAACTTCAGGTTGAATTATATAGGCCACCTTGTATGTAAGTGTGCTCCTGTACCCAAAGACAGTTAAGAGTGTTTTCAGAGATCCTAAAGTGCTGTTAAAATTTTCAAAGAATGGTAAAAGAGCTTAATGCACTAGAGAGGCCAGCAAGAAAAGAGGTAAAGCTGTGTGCTGAGGTGCAGAACAGGAGAGGAGGCTTGCAGAAAGAGAGTGGAGTCCAGGAGCAGCTTAGTTTTGGCTTATAATGAAGGGAGCCTAGGTATTGCTTATTTGTGCTTCATAAGGAAAGAGACTGGGACAGATAGAGGAGGAGAGGGGCTGTGCCATGGTACGCTCAGCAAGGAATAAGAGTCTCCAAATGTGAGAGAGTTCAAGTTTTGGGAAAATAGCTCAGATTGACCCTCACAGCTTTGTGTGTTAGGAAACAGCCATGCATTGAGATAAACGTGTCTAATTTTAGACTTGTTAAAAAATTTGTGATTTAGGCTCTGCTGAGGGGAGTCTTAGTTAGAATCAGGGAGAACATTTCTGTACACTCCTACTTCTTTGTCCATCACAGGATTTTTAAGTTGTTCTCTGTGCCTGGTGTTTAGTTTGCAGGAGTGGGAGAACAGAAGAAATCTACTGAGGTGGACCTGAGTGCAGCTAGCCCCAGAATGCAGCGCTTGATGCTGCCGAGAGATTTAAGTTTGTGAGGGATAGTTGCAAAATCTGATTAAAACCTAGACCAGGGCATCAAGTTACCTGATAATTCCAGCTGTTTAGCAGTCTCTGGGAGTCTTATTCTGCCCTCCTACCACCCCCTGCAGCTGCCATTGGTGATCTCCAGGGAGCAAATAAGTGATCATGGCGGTGGGAAATTAAAAAAAAAAAAAAAAAAAAGAGAGGAAAAAAAAGGGGTGAAAAAGGAAAAAAAGGAAAGAAAAAGAAAGGGGCATAAGTCCCACTAGCTGGCTAACCTGTAACATTTGCTCTGTGTTTCCAATTAGTCTGCTGTATGTTCATTCTTACATTACTGACTGACTGTCAGATAGGAATCTGAAGCAGGCCCCAGTAGGGCTTTGCACAAATGCAGGAGACAAAGGCCAAGACAGAAGGAGACTCCTTGGGCTGCAGCTGTCCCTAAGGAAATGCTTCCAACAGCCTATCCCTGCAATATGAGTGTGATGTAGTGTTGGCCTAATGGACCTACCAACACATGGAGACTAAGGTTAACTGCATGGAAATCTTACTCACTGCACAGAAAAGTCTTCCAAAAATATTTTTGGTCATATTAATTTCTCTGGACTCTGAAAGAAACAGTTTTGTTTATTTTAGTATATCACTGCGGCTTAGCACACAGCTTGACACCGAAATCTTGTAACAGAAAAACACTTTCATTTCTCATTGGCTTTTTTTGCTCCTTGAGAGTCATACTTTGAAAAGTCAGAGGATAAAGTTCAAGTAGCTGCATTTTTTTGCTTTCTTTCTTTTTTCTTTCTTTTTTTTAATCTTCTGGGTGGGAGCCCATGGATAATCCATGAGAATTTGTTGTGATGAAGCTGGTTATGCAGACTGGTAACTTTCCAAATTAGCTGTGAAGCTTTGAGTGCGTGGGTTTAGGAACACCATGTGTACCTTTTTTTGTAAAGCTACTATTGAGTGGAAAGCACTTGCATTAATATCGCAGTTTCCTATCCAGGAATAAACCACTTGACATCCTTCCTCCACAGTTGCTCATGTGTAAAGCGGAAGAAGTGTCTCTTTATGCCTCCCATACTTGGTGTGCCTTGTGGTAGTGAGATCATCTGTCAAGGACCACCTCTGACAATGTATGTGGATTAGCCTTTGCTTGGGGACTGAGGGCACTCAAGGAATAAAAATGATGATGATGACCTCCAGGACCTAAACTGAGAAAAATAAAGCTATAAATGGGAGTGAGTTTGTCTGTTGGTTTTGGCTTGTCTGCTGTTTATACCATCCTATATTAGCTGGAAGTCTCTCCTTGAGAAAGACCTGCTCCCTAAAGGCAAGGGATGCCACAGATCAGCAATGAGAATATGGATAAGCATGTGAGAAAAGGCTTTTCCATCCTCCTGACAGCACTCTTCCCAACACAAGCCTCCTACCTCCCAAATTCCCCACCAAAATTAGCACAGGTAAAAGCATACCTATACTATATTTCTACTTGGAAAATTGTAAATGTCAAAGTTCTTGGGAACTTGAGGCAGACAGCAATTGACAGCTCAGACCCAGGCAGAACTTGGAACCCAACTCAACAAGGCAGGTAGTGCTGGCAGGTCCCAAGGCCATTTTAGCCCACTGGCTGCAGGTTTTAGGCTTGCACTGCCTGGAACATTAGGTATCCAAAGCATTTGCAGCGGGTTGTAATTGCAAACACATGACCTTTGCTGCTGCTGGATAGGCCCTGTTGTCACATCTTGTTCTGAGCATTGAACTGGGGCTGAGAGGATCCTGTCAGAGATGGGAAGAGTCAGGGTCTGTTTCTGAATAACTTAGTGGACCTACTTTCTTAAAATACATCTAGCCTGACGTCCCTGTGTGAAATAAGAAAAAGTGGAAATATGATGATTGTAACAAGTAGAGTATTGCATCAAATAGCATTTACGAATAGTGAGCTGAATATTTTCAACATGAGGGCATGTTTAAAATCACATTCTGCATATGCTGGACTTTGAATGCATTTCTTCCTAAGACTTATCCTGAAACATTGAAATCTTCTCATCAGTGTTCAGGGCTGCAAGATAATGTATGAATTATGCAAATGAGGCAGGGAAATGGCTATTCTTAATTACAACTTGGTTTTAATGTGGGTTGTTCAATGTCAGTTCAGGAAGCTCATCAGTCCTCTACATGGCCTGATGTTCCTGTTCTAAGTGTATTATCCTAAGGCAGGCACGTCACTGCTAGAAAAGCATCAGCAAATTGAAGTAGTCCAGTAAAGAAGAAGAACAAAACCAAATACAAAGCCTTTAAGGGTTAAATAATTTCAATCTGCAGAAGGAGTAAAAGTCCTGAGTATCCAGTTTAGCTGTGTTAAAAAAGGGGTGATGCTACAGACAGATGTGTTTTAAAGACATATATTTGTTTTGTACCTTCTAGGATCTCCTTCTGTATATATTTCTGTGTATCAGTATAAGAAGGTAGATAAAATGTACTTGTCTAGCTTATAGCACATCACTATTTCATGCTGAGCTCAGTGACTCTCTGACCTCCAGAAGAAATTTCTTGCATATATTGCTGAATGTCATAGTTTGGTACTGCAGCCTATGAGTGTAGGGAAGGTGATATAATTCAAAGCAAGCTGGAAATGATAGAATCTGTTCCTAAAGTAGGATAGTTGGGTGAAAAAATTAACTTAATTTCCACATTTGCTTAAATTTGAAGCAATGTGTATCTACCCCATAGGTTTTGCTCTCTTCTGAAAAGTAATACAGAAAAATCATAAAGGATTTTGCCTATATTTAGTAGTTGACATTACAGCAGCTGAAACTAGCAGTGCAGTAAATCACCCTTAGCCAGGAAAGGGTGATATGTATGGGGTCATATGTACCCTTATAGGAGAAGAAAAAATATTTATATGTTGACAAAGCACATTGTGTAAGTGTTTGGGTTTTAGAGGCCTGTATTGTAATACTAATAGGCTATGGGGCAATGCTGGCAATGCACTCCCTTGGTGAAAGAACAGGGATTAAGAGTTCATTTTGGCTTGGCTGATGGGTGAAAAATTAGCCCCAGTTTTCCCTGGTAAGTACTCTGAAACCCCAGTAGGGTCCTGGAGAAGAACACTGCTGGTACACATTTCAGAGGCAAGTGCTCTGAAAGGGCTGAATTTCACTTGTGAAATAATACAAACCAACAAACTCAGGAGCCTGTTCCTGGAGCACTTTGGGCTCATTGTCTGGCAGTCTGTACAATGGAAGCAAAGACCTATGTTTAAACACTTGCTATTTTGATTTTTTAAAAAATTATGCTATCATAAATGCACATATGTACATTCTCCCTCCATTTGTCTAAACATGATGTAAGACCATCCATATTTTTAAGTCAAAGGGCCACTGATTTCTTATTTTCCCACTGAGATTAAGTAACTTATATGTTCAGTTTGTCATAGCAGACACAAAGTAAGACTAGAAATTAGTAAGACTAGAATTGTTGTTAATACAGTGCTTAAGGGCCAGAGTACCATTGTTGTATGTATTGTAATAACTTCAAGCTGTTACTTTATCAATCAGTTAAGCTGTTGTCAAGGTGATAGCTCAAAACTCTAAATTTCAAAGTATCACCCATCATTCAAAGGTTTCAGTACAATGGTTCCTATACTCTAAATATAATATCTGTATCTGTGAAGATGTAAGCATTCTCACACCATAG